CAACGACCGAAACGACCGAAAAAATATAAGAAAGAAACAAATAGGCCTAGTGCATAACTTTTTTCATTTTTATATATATACCAGGTTTACAGGAGTTTTTTTGTTGTTAATATGTTGCAAAGAAACACACAAAAAACTGTGGTTAAAAACCGAGGTACGTATTGAACTGTGTTGTTGCATCCCTAGTAACAATATATACATTTGTTTTAATGTTTTTTTTCTGGTCGTAGTCTGACCTGTGTTTTGCCCTGCTGTCCGTACACGATCTTGGCGGGGATGATTTTGGTGGACGGCTGGATGCCGGCGCCGAGGCTCTTGGGCTGCGTCACGAACATTTTGGTGATGGGCCGCGACGCAGTGATGATAGCAGGCTTGGCTCCGGAGACGGCCTGCAGCGTCTTCTCTCCCTGACACACACACACAGACACAGACACACACACACAGACACAGACACAGACACACACACACACACACACACACACACACACGTGTCATGAATCACCGCACACCAGCTTTTAACGATGTGCGATTTGACATTATCGAGTATTTTGCAAAAACCAAACAAAACACACCTACAGAGCGCACGCATACATTAGTGATGAAGTCTAGTGAGCTAGACCAGTGTGCGTTCTTTCACTGCATGACTCAGTCTATTAAAATACATTTAGAATAATCACAAATTCAAGACATGGGGGCAGAAAATGTATACACTACCGCTCAAAAGTTTGGGATCAGTAAGACTTGTAATGTTTTTTAAAGCAGTATCTTCTGCTCATCAAGGCTGCATTTATTTGATCAAAAATACAATTAAAAAAACTGTAATATTGCAAAATGTTATTACAATATAAAATAATGGTTTCTATTTTAATATCCTTTAAAATATAATTTATTTCTGTGATGCGCAGCTGAATTTCCATCAGCCATTACTCCAGTATAAAGTGTCACATGATCTTCAGAAATCATTATAATATGCTGATTTATTATTAGAATTATCAACAGTTGTGCTGCCAAATATTTTTTTTTGGAAACTGCGATACTTTTTTCAGGATTCTTTGATGAGTAAAAAGTTAACAAGAACAGCATTTATTCAAAATATAAATCTTTTCTAACAATATAAATCTTTGCTATCACTTCTTATCAATTTAACTCATCCTTGCTGAATAAAAGTTTTAATTTCTTTCAAAAAAAGAAAATAAAAATGTACTGACCCCAAACTTTTGAACGGTAGTGTATATTGTTAGAAAATATTTTTATTTTAAATAAATGCTCTTCTTTTTAACTTTTTATTCATCAAAGAATCCTGAAAAAAAGTATCACAGGTTCCAAAAAAATATGAAGCAGCAACAGTTTCAACATTGATAATAAATCAGCATATTAGAATGATTTCTGAAGATCATGTGACACTTTATACTGGAGTAATGATGCTGAAAATACAGCGCTGCATCACAGAAATAAATTAGATTTTAATGTATATTAAAATTGAAAAACGTTATTTTACATCATAATATTTCACAATATTAAAATTTTTCCTGTATTTTTGATCAAGTAAATGCAGCCTTGATGAGCAGAAGAGACTTCTGTAAAAAACATTAAAAATCATTCTGATCCCAAACTTTTGACCGGTAGTATGCATTTATACCATTTCATAGTTAATCAATTTCACACAAAGAGTGCCGTTTTTCTCCAAAAATTACCATGATAACAAATGTGATATAGATTTTTTTACAACAGGTCAAAGTAAATTAAGAGACTTACGTTTTATGGCCAGGGGCCAGTTGCATAAACTTAGCCACCATGTTAAGACTGTGTTTAAGAACTAGTTTAACCAACTAGCAGCTGCCAAGAAAAAATCTTTTCCTACCTTTTCATAACTGAACTTAAAAAGTTATGACCAGTCTTGCTAAAAATAAAAATAAAAAATAAAAAAATTAGATGACTAACTTAAGACTTTTTAACTTTTTAGTCTGAATAGTTTATGCAACCCGCCCCTGGTTTCACAGACAGGGCTTAGACTAAGCCAGGATTAGGCCATAGTTCAATTAGGACATTTAAATAATTTTTATGAATGTACTTAGAAAAAAAACATTACTGGTGTGCGTCTTGAGACAAAACAAAGGCATATTTTGATATACAAAGATATATTTTAAGATCAGTCAGTGCCAGTTTCTTTCAGTTGAAACAGCTCAGACTTACATTTTAGTCTAGGACTAGACTTAAGCCTTGTCTGTGAAACCGGGGGTATATTTCCTGTTTTTGCTCTATTTCGACAACAAAAATAATTCCAAACACAGCCACAACACTGTTTTTGGACGCTGTGAGCAACATGACGGTGATTCGTTCCTGAATGAATCAACTGTTTAAATGATTCGGTTCAATCGCAATGAATCACTTATTAACAGTGACTTGCTGCCACCTACTGGCGGTTTTAATTTCACATTTAAAGTATCTTTTCAACGTTTTATGATTAATATATCTTAACATTATTTATGCATTTGTAACTGCAGGTTAAATGCATTCATGTCCTGCATTAAACGGTGTAAACACATCTAAACACCTCTTCAGACGCAGCTTCTGTGTTTCCTCTGCATTGCAAAGATTAATTTTGTTGATACTGATTTAATTTGCTCGGTAACAGCCCAAATGTCTTATTATTCTAATTCACTGATGAAATGTAAGAATCTGACTCAAAAGATGATGCACACTTTTATAAAAAATGGCTTTATAAAGGTAAAGATGCCCATAAAATGTAAAAATCAGTGTAAACTTATTGGAAAAGATGAATTTCTCTCAGTGTGAACTGACTAGTACACAGAATATGAAGAATATTAAACACTTTAGGAGTCAGCTTGTCCGGTATGGTCCTTAATATATCAGCACAATAACACACTCAGCAAAATATCGTTGATATTATATTTTGTCAATATCGCACACCCCTAGTGACCTCACCCCTGCGTTCAGCAGCGTCGTCACCACGTTCTTCCCTGGCAGACCCTGGATGGTCGTCCCTTTGCCGGAGGTCTTCTGCACCACGATGACGTTGGGTTTGGAGGTCATGGGGATGGTGGTGATCTTGGTGCTAGTTCCTGTGAAGGCAGAGCTAGTGTTGGACGATACGCAAATTGTGACCCTGGACCACAAAACCAGTCATAAGGGTCAATTTTTTGAAATTGAGATTTATACATCATCTGAAAGCTGAATAAGTAATCTTTCCATTGATGTATGGTTTGTTAGGATATGACAATATTTGGCCGAGATACAACTATTTGAAAATCTGGAATCTGAGGGTGCAAACAAATCTAAATATTGAGAAAATCATCTTTAAAGTTGTCCAAATGAAGTTCTTAGCAATGCATATTACTAATCAAAAAGCTTGAAAATATTATCACAATGCAAAAAAAACTAATGTTACAAAAAATATGCTTCCTGTATCCAGAAGTACATTTGTTAATTCTTATTTTGAGGTAAAATGTAACTCTGGTTTCACCCAACGAATCACAGAGATGCTTCAGAACTGTGAAATGTTCACTGTTTGTCCACAGTTATCTAAATTCACTGGATCGCATTGCCAACCCTTCCTATGTTCCCACCCAGCAAGATGTGCTCAGGGTCAGAGTGCCCACAACAGGGATCATCGAATACCCCTTTGACCTACAGAGTGTCATATTCAGGTAAATCTTCTCTTTATACTTACTCTTCTTGTTCATCTAGTACCACATTGATACAAAATGCTCAGTTCATACAGTTCAACCCAGTGCTTAGATGCCAGATTGTAAGTGTATGACCTTTCAATCTGATGACTTGTCCTCCTCCACCAGGATGGTAGATGTAGGGGGGCAGCGCTCAGAAAGGCGGAAGTGGATCCACTGCTTTGAAAACGTCACCTCCATCATGTTCCTAGTAGCACTCAGTGAATATGACCAAGTTCTGGTTGAGTCTGACAATGAGGTAAATGAACTACCAGCAGAGTGAGCCAAAGTTGTTACTAACCACTTTAAATGTTTGCAGAATTTCTATTTTGCGTGATGCCTTGATGCACATGCCTTTCAGCACAGAAAAAAATATTTTTACGAATTCACATTTTATTTATTTAGTGGGGTATACAATCCTACAATCACGATTTTAGCAAAGAAAAATGTCTTGTTAAAAGTGTACTACATTTCTTGCGGGAAAAACTTTTAACTGTGTGGCATAATCTTATCAAATAATTTTTTTGATAAAAACTAATGAAGCAGTATTCAAATATTAGTAATAATTAAAATATATATATATATATATATCCTCAGAAATCATTGTGGATTAACAAACATGCTGGAGACCTTTTTGACGTGACGAAACAAAGCCAGAAATATTATAATTTTGTGTTTTAAATAACACATTTTGGATAACGCATTTAATATTATTTTACTTAGTGGCTATACCGCTTGACATTTTTATAGTCATTAAATGAAACTAGATTAAATTTTTATTTGTAATTAAAATGACCCCATAAAAACGGTCTCTGACTGACTTGGATCATATAATCAGTAGATAATGAACTATTGTTTTCATTCTTAACTTTAAATGGCAAGCTGTGCTCACTTTAGCAGTGTTTGAATGTTGAATGTTATTTTTTTTCTGAAATTGTCAGAAGCGGTGAATTAAATGTTAGTGTTGATTGCTGTAGTAAAGCAGGACTAAAATAACCACTGAAATGGCCCTGATGTGTTATTTTTCCCTCACAGAATCGAATGGAGGAAAGCAAAGCGTTGTTTAGGACGATAATAACATACCCCTGGTTCCAGAATTCATCCGTTATTCTTTTTCTGAACAAGAAAGACCTTTTGGAAGAGAAAATTATGTTTTCACACCTTGTAGATTACTTTCCTGAATATGATGGTAAGATTAAAAATATTGTGATATGTTGTTTTTCCAGATTATTCTGTGAGATTTGAAAAAGATGGTCAGTCATGATGCGTTTATTGGACTGATGGTCTTTCCATGGCGCTGCAAAAGCATTGCTGTATTATTGTTCATACTTCAGGTTCCAAGTTATTCTAAGTAAAAGCTCTGATTAGTTAACCAAAATCGATCTATTTCTTCTCTCTTAGGACCCCAGAGAGACGCTCAAGCAGCACGGGAATTCATCCTGAAGATGTTTGTCGACCTGAATCCAGACTCCGAAAAAATCATTTACTCTCATTTCACCTGCGCCACTGACACAGAAAACATCCGATTCGTGTTCGCTGCTGTCAAGGACACCATCTTGCAGCTCACACTGAAGGAATACAATCTAGTCTGAACAACGGCCGGTTATGGTTTTGTCATCGTCTTGCCCAGTTAAAAGACTCGTCAGTCTGCAGCTAAAGTCTGCCGTAATGCTGTGATCCACTAAAGTCTGCTTTAACTGTTCGAGCAGTCCGCTGATTCTGCTCTGAAATTGGACACACACGTTTTTTTTTGTCTGTAACACAAGCTGCTCACTGCTTCGTCATTATTTATTTGCACCTCGGAGCTACTTCACAGAGTTCAACTTATATTATGTATTATTCCATTTGAATGAAAAACATTGTTATTGAACTTTCTATTAAGGTTTATTCTGTAGCAGGTTATTTTTGGTTTTCAAGTTGTATTCATTGAGCTGTTTGCTATAAATGTTATGTAGATTTCTGCAACTTGGACATATTAATTATTCCGTGTGGTGAGTTCTTTAGAAAGCAATGAAAGTACGGTATTGTATTTTATAAGGGTCTTATAAGGGTCTTTTCTCATTTCCAAGGCACGTGCATTGATGAAGAATAGATAACAGCTAGTTTAACATGAACATTTACATTAAAAGTGCCAAAGTTCTTCTAATGTGATTGTTTTATATATTGCCATGTGGTAATCATACCACTGGCAATAAGTTGCCCTTGCCAGTATCATTTGTTGATATACCATACCAGCTCTTCGTATGTATTTCTTGTGTTCTTGTACATCTGCTGTTCATGACCTGATCCCTTAAGATCACCGGTGTTCTGTTAACCCCTAGTGCCCCTAGTGACCTCACCCCTGCGTTCAGCAGCGTCGTCACCACGTTCTTCCCTGGCAGACTCGTCCCTTTCGTCCCTTTGCCGGAGGTCTTCTGCACCACGATGACGTTGGGTTTGGAGGTCATGGGGATGGTGGTGATCTTGGTGGTGGTTCCTGTGAAGGCAGAGCGTCAGAATGAGAGGCGGGACTCGCTGCAGTCAGCGGCACGCTGCTGTTTCCAGCTCTTACCCGACACCATGTTGGTGGTGAGGATCTTGCCTCCCAGCGTGGCCAGAGACTTGGGCACGACGGTGATGATGCTGCCGCTCGTGGTTTTGACGTACGTGGCTCCGGCGGGAGACGTGGCCACTCGCGCACCGATCGCAGGACTGACAGACGGCCGAGTGTAATGCATATTACTAATAAAAAATTAAGTTTTGATATATTTACGGTAGTAAATTTACAAAATATCTTCATGGAACATGATCTTTACTTAATATCCTAATGATTTTTGGCATAAAAGAAAAATGTATAATTTTGACCCATACAATGTATTGTTGGCTATTGCTACAAATATACCTGTGCTGCTTATGACTGCTTTTCTGACTGTGGTCGATACATGATGCTGTGGTTCCCAGCTCTTACCCGACACCATGTTGGTGGTGAGGATCTTGCCTCCCAGCGTGGCCAGAGACTTGGGCACGACGGTGATGATGCTGCCGCTCGTGGTTTTGACGTACGTGGCTCCGGCGGGAGACGTGGCCACTCGCGCACCGATCGCAGGACTGACAGACGGCCGAGTGTACGTCGCCTGAGAGCCTAAAACACACCAGACACCAGTTCAGCGCAGGAGACCTCCACCCATTCACTAACATGCACATTAACATGACACCATCAGATATCTGTCAGGGACGCTCAGGATCTGCAGCGCTGAACGTTCATAAATCAGTACAATGACAAACTCGCTTATATTAACCCTCATAATCTGCACACAATATTTGTACTCCGGGTCCGTTTGGACCAGAAGAATTGTTATTTTATAAAACAGTCAGAACTTAATATTTTTCAGCTGAAACCATGGTGTATCTGATCAGCAGCTTCTTATTAATGAGTGAATGCGAAAAAATTCATAGTTTTGAATGTTATGTCATGCCATATTATTACCATGTCTTACGCCATTTACCCCTTTTTTATCAATTAAAAAATTTGCAATTCTTTGAAATTTCAAATTACACATGAACCACATTAAAACTAGGCCTATATATACAGTATATATCATATATTACTTTATAACTATATATATATA